TTTTGTATTTTGNTAAANNTTTTGAAAANNTGNTATTTTTGGAAAATAGAACTNNAAAAATAACATTTCCCAGAATTTCTCAAAAAGAAACTTATAAGATTAATTTCAGAATCTTCATAATCAGCGAAAATCTTACAACTAATATTTGCTGGGCCAAATCATATTTAAGAGGTCCATCTATATAAGCCCATCTCTTAAACAATTATCGGTCTTATATTTCATTTTCTTATATTCATTTTCTTTTCTCATCGAGGAGAAAGAAGAAATTTATTATCGTCAGTGTTTCTGGTGTTCTCATTAAGCCAAAGTAGTTGTAGATTCCTCCGAATCGTCCGTCTCTTCGCAGGTTGGTTTCTTGATCCGATTTCAGTTCGAGTGAATTTTTGTACTCTAGGGTTTTGTCGATTTCAATCGTTTGCTTTGTATAGATTAGATACCGAGGAGGATGTGATTTTACTTGTTTCCCTTGCTCTTAGGGTTTTGTTAAGATCTTACTTGGTAAATTGGTTTCTATTCTGGAAATTTATAGTGATTTATACATCTCATGATTCTACAATCGTTCCTCTCTTGTTTTAGGGTTTGAAATATATTAGCTTTATCTTGATGCGAATTTGAATCAATTTTTTTTTTCATTGAATCATGTTAAAGATCTTATGTGCTTCAACTTAATGTGTGAATTTTGCTGTCATTAGGTTATTATTCTCAAATCTCAACGCTGTATTTGATAATTCTAGTGTATTGGTTTTTTTAACAGTTTCGCTTTGCCTCGAAATATGGATAGTGAGACAAGGGTGCACCCGGACTGTATAAAAGCTTCGAATCCTTATCACGAGTGTGTCGAGTATTGCTTTAAAAAAATAGCTGAAGCAAAGACCAGATTGGAGAAGGAAGGTACTGAGTTTGTGTGTTTTTCTTTTTATTTATGTGGCTTAGCTATTCTTGACGATGTATCCATCATCTGTGTTGATTNGTTTCCTGAGAGATGCGAGTGAATTTGCACAAAAAGTTATCTGATGATGATGCTACAATGTGAGTTTGTTTCGATTCAGTGATTCACTCAATCTTTGCAGAGGTGGATATAAACATGTTATTTTTCTATGCGATGTCCTTAATGATGAAAGAACCATTTAGTTCTGATAAGAAGTAATTATAAATTGAGATTCTTAGACTTATTATGTTTCTTTTTCATGCACCAAAAGGATTAGTTGAAGCTGTTGGTGGACGCGGTTACCCGTATGCTAAAGTTCACGAGCAGGCAAGGGAGTCGCTTGATGATAAAAGAATAGAGGAAGAGAGTTCTGAAGAAGATGAGGAAGAGGATAACCAAGAACCTGAAGTAGATGTGACCCAACTTACTGGGAGGAAGAAGAAATTTTTTGAGGACTTAAGATGGTAAGTCTTTTTTTTTGCTACAGTCATTAGCTCAATTCGTTGTGCGTAANATCGTTTCATATATGTAACTCTTTTTCTCANAATGAAGCAAGGAAATCCAATCAGACAGATGTCGGATCTGAAAAGAAGAAAATGGAAGCACCAACGGAGACAAAAGGCATCTCAAAACAGAAATGGTTGGAGGAGAGGAAGAAAAAGATTGGGAAACTTCTCGATGCTAATGGTTTAGATATGACAAAGGCGTATATGCTCGCTACTCAAGAAGCAGCGGAAACAAACTACAAAAAATGGGAAAAAGAACCTAAACCTTCTGGTTGGGATGGTATGTGCAATTCTCACTGAATTTTGACTCAGCTCTCTTATGATTTATTTGTTTCNAGTCNATGATATCACAATTGCTGCAAGGCTAATGTGTGAAATTCTTTATTTTTCTTCAGTCTTCAACCAGAAGACGTTGTACAATGCATATAAGAAACGGACAAAGAACATTCAGGTCGATCTAGAGGAGTATAACAGAATGAGAGCAGCTGATCTAGAGTTTTACCGCGAAGCCTCAAGCTTGCAATACGGGAAGGTTTGTTATTTGTCAATATGGTCAGTTGTAGCTTAATCTCTGTTGAAAAAACAGATTGAAAGACAAAAAACTAGGGACCACATAGGCTACATGGCATGTTAGGATAGGTAAGTATTGTGCATGCGTGCCTCGCGTTCGTGAATACACAACAAAAAAATTGTCCTATATGCATTGTACCACGTGTCACATTGTAT